CTTCACGTCAAACTGCTCGGACTTGTTCAAGACAATGTTGCTCAAAGGATACAAGGTGCTCGGGGACTAGCTGTGGGGGATATGACTCGATATCTATAAGACAAGACATGGGCCGCACCATTAGAGGTGGCCTAGCCCACAAGATCAAGGCGTGCACGGCACTGGTCGATGTGCATTGCAAGATATTGTATAGTACCAAATATGATACTTTTCTTGTAACCCTACCCCTCCAGGGTATATAAGGAGAGGCAGGGGTCCCCTAGTGGACATCTACATACATCTCATATTCAATATAATACAATAAAAACACATGACATAGGGTATTACGTCGATCAGATGGAACAAACATGTCTAAATCGCTGTCTCTGCGCCTTGTGTCACCATCCAGTTCCTGATTACGTGCACCCCACCGACAAATCTACCATCGCGGGATACCCCTTGGTGGACTACCGAGCATCTTTTGTCGACATCTCCTATCTTTATCCGCATCTTGTGGCACACTTGATGAAGAGGGTGGATCAATCACATGCACTTCATCTTCATCATCTTTAGGCTTGATGTCTCTGACAGGAATGTTCTTCATGGCCTCCCTCAATGATTCATCACCTACATCATCAAGATTCTCATGTGCTCCTTAGGAGCCGTTAGATTCATCAAACTCCACATCATATGTTTCTTCAACCAAGCCGGTGGCATGATTAAATACTCGATATGCTTTGGACTTTGATGAGTAACCAACAAGAAAACCAATATCACAACATCTTTGAAACTTCCCTTGGTGTTGCCGCTTCTTATAGATGTAGCATTTGCAACCAAACACCCAAAAGAATGAGACATCTGGCTTCTTCCCATTGAGCAACTCATAAGGGGTCTTGTCAAGAAACTTTTGAAGGAATAGGCAGTTGGATGCATAGCATACGGTGTTGATGGCTTCCGCCCATAGATCTTGAGGTGTATTGTACTCATCAAGCATTGTTCTTGCAAGGGTGATTAGTGTCTGATTCTTTCTCTCTACTACATTTTGTTGAGGAGTGTAGGTTGTGGAGACCTCATGCTTGATACCAACTTCATCACAATATGCTTCAATGTTTGTGTTGTCAAACTCTTTCCTATTGTTACTTCTTATCTTCTTGAGCTTTACTTCAAATTCATTTTGTGCTCTCTTAGCAAACTTCTTGAAACATGAGGTCACTTTGGTCTTGTCATGAAGGAAGAACATCCAAATGTATCTAGAGTAGTCATCAACTATTACAAGACAATAGAGGTTGTCTTTCAAACTTTTGTAAGTTGTTGGTACAAATAGATCCATGTGGAGAAGCTCAAGCACTCTTGTTGTTGACATGTAAGCTTTGGTTGGGTGAGTGTTTGCAACTTGCTTGCCGACTTGACATGCACTACAAAGCTTGTTCTTCTCAAATTTCACATCCTTCAAACCTTTCATCAACTCATTTTTCATTAATTTCTTGAGTGAGCTCATCCCAACATGTGCAAGTCTTCTATGCTAAAGCCACCCAAATGATATTTTGGTGAATAAGCATGTCTTCAAGTTTGCATCTTCAGAGGTGAAATCCACTAGATATAGGTTGTTGTATCTAAAGCCCTTGAATATGACTTGATCATCATCTTTCTTTGACACAATCACTTTCTTCTCAGTGAATAAACATTGAAAGCCAAGATCACACAATTGACCAACGGATAGCAAGTTGAAGCTCAATGAAGCAACATATAGCACATTTGATATTGAGTGATCATTTGATATTGTAACTTTGCCCAACCCTTGTACTTTTGCCCTTTGAATTGTCACCAAAAGTAATCCTTTCTTGACCATCTACTTCTTCATCTAGTGAGGTAAACATACGAGGATCACTGGTCATATGTTGAGTGCAACCACTATCAATAACCCAATTACTTCTACCCATCTTGTAGTTCACCTACACAGACAAGAGATCAAGCCTATTGTTTAGGGACCTAAACTTGACGAGGGCTTTTGACTTTCTCAACTAGTGATTTAGTAACCTAAATTTGCTTAGGCCTATTCTTGTTGGGTGGACCTAAAACTGACTTTTATCTTTCGACTAGAATCTTTTCTAAGCATGTAGTGAGCATTGAAGGCAAAGGATCTAGCATGCTTAGGCAAGGGTTGTGGTGGTGGAGTTTCACACTCATGAGCAAAATGACCTTCTTGTCCACACTCAAAACATCTCTTTGGCTTAGGCTTTGACTTGTATTGTTGTTGATGTTGAGCTTGATCTTTCTTCTCTTGATTTACTAAGAACCCAATATCACTTCTATCTATCTTCATCATGGTGTTCATAAGTAGCTCACTTTGAAGATATTGGTCTCTTGTGAACTTGCTCAAACCGGTCTTGAGATGCTCTTTCTCTTACTTGAGTTTCTTTTTTCTTCTCTAAGTTCATCATGATTCTTCTCCATCTTGAGTCTCTTATTCTCTTCTCTAAGCATCTCATTCTCAAGAGCCATATCATGATCATTTTAGCTTTTCATTTTCATTCTTGAGCTTGACATAATCATCATAGTTGTTGGATTCAACAACTTTCTTGTCTTTGCTACTAGAACCTTGCTCAATGCTCTCAACAATCAAGTCATCACATGATGTGGCTATATTAATCTTAACAACATTGTTAGTAGCATCATGTGGCTCATTGGACAATAACTCATGAGAAAAAACAAGATTATCATGATTAATCTTGAGATTGGTGTACTCTTCTTTTAGCAAGTTGTAACTAGTGGTGAGGTCATTGTGTATCCCCTCAAGTTTATCATGTTTTTCTCTAAGCTCCCTTTTAGAGGTTTTGAGCTCCTTGAGTTTGAATGACATAATTTTATTCTCTTCTCTAAGCTCATCATTAGTTTTTTCGGCTATGTCATACTTTGCTAAGAGTGAGTCATTCTCAAGTTCTAGCTTCTTATTTTTAGCTCTTGTCTTTCTAATGATTTTATAATTTGACAAGATCATCATAAGAAGGTGATTCAAATTCTTCATCACTATCACCATCATTCTTATCATCACTAGCATTGTCGTCACCATTACTATCATCATCATTTTGTACCTTTTATTCACCCTTGGCCATGAGGTATAGATGTGTAGAGATTGATGACGACAGTGTCGATGGAGGTAGTGAAGAACCAATTACAAGAGCGGCCACCTTCTCCTTCTCATTTTCACTTTCATCATCGGTTGAGCCACTTGATGATTCAATGTTTGTGAGACAATCACCAACAATATAGGCCTTGCCATTATTCTTCTTCTTGTGAAATTCCTTCTTCTTGCCATCCTTCTTCTTGTATGGCTTGTTATTCTTCTTCTCATCATTATTATCACTTGAGTCATCTTTTTTGTCCTTGTACTTGTCTTTCTTGGGTTTGGGGCATTGATGAGCTAAATGATCAAGATCTTCATAACTGTAGCAATCTATTTTGGAGATGGGTTTCCTTCTACTAGTGAAGAATTTCTTCTTCTTGCCATCAAACTTTGACATAATTTTTGTTTACCTTCTTGAGCATCTTGGCGGTTCTTCTCACCATGAGAATAAGGCTTGTATCATCAATCTCATTATCGCTTGAGCTATCATGATCAACTTTTGCTTTGTCCCTCTTCTCTTGGCTAGCCTTGAAAGCCAAATCTTTCTTCTTGGTGGAATAAGAGCCATCTTGTGGAGTGATGTGCATGTACATTTCATGTGCATTGATCTTTTTCAATATTTGAATTGGCGTAGCGGTGAAAAGATCACTTTGATGAAGCACCGTCACAATATGCCCATACTTATCAATGGGAAGGACACTCAAGATCTTTATCATAGTATCAGATGGTTGCATTTGAGTGAGTTCAAGCCCATTGACCTCCTCTACAAGAACATTCAAGCGTGAATGCATTTCGTTAACACTTTCACTTAGGAAGCATTTCAAATGAATTAAACTTCTTCATCATAAGGTGATAACTTTCTTACACTCACTCTTGGTTTACCCATGAAGCGCATAAATGTCCGACCATAGTGAATGGGTGTCTTTATGATTCCGCACACGATTAAAAACATTTTTGCAAAGGTCTGAAAAAAAGTTTTTCTACTCTTAGTATTTCACTTCTTCTAGCGAGACATTTACGTTTTGGGAAACCTGTGACACGGACAGGTTTGGGGCGGAATATGGTTCCGCGGACGGGAGCAGCTGGGGAGCCTGCCGTCCGCGCGGCTGCTGGCTGTGGACGGGGACCCGCTCTTCCGGGCGTACTGGGCGGCCGAGTTCGGGTTCGGCCGGCCATCACGCGTGGAACCGGTGTCCATGATCCGCGACGGCAAGCTCATGTTCCGGGGCAGCAAGCGCGACGGCGAGGTGCAGGTCTCGGTGGCGCTCGACCCAGCGCACATGGACGCGTTCAAGGCGCACATCAAGAATAGCATGCTCGTTTGCTCAGGACCAAACTCTAGCGTCTACTCTATTCGATGTCCTCTCCATTGCTTCATCACTAGTTTTTCACATATTCTTTGGCCTGTTAGTTGACTTGTTATGCTGGCCGGAACACCGGGTGCACTGGCAAATGTCTTTAAAAAAATGGCAATCTGGTTGACAACATGCTTTGGACTGTACCATAAGGAGTTGCATTTTTCAGCTAAGAATGCTCGGCCGCAGCCGATGCATTGGATATATAAACCAGAATCCAGAGAGTTCAAATGACAATACCTATTCAGGTCAATTACTACCAATATCAGCATCAGACATGCTGAACAGCCAATCACCATAGCCAGCTACATGAACAGTCTTGTACAGCGAGCACCTAGCATGGTTCTTCCAGAATGGTGCCAGCTGGCAATCACCACATATGAACAAAAGCCAGACACCGCAATGGCATCTAGGGGTGACAAAATGCCTGGTCTATTCTACATTCTAGAGTCTAGACTACAACCTGCTTCCAAAATAACTACGTCCAGGTTGGGTCAGTACCGCCACCATGCCTTCTACCTTCCCAGTCAGCAGTGAACTGATCAATCACCTACGCTTGCCACTTTGCCAGAGCCTTTCAGGCAATTGCTCTGCCTTTTAGGAGGCATCTCATCAACAACACCATCTTTGGACTTGCCGTCTCCACTCTTCTCACCTCTTTGACGACCAGCCTTATTTTTGGGCTTATCTTCAGTAGCTTCATCATTGGACTTGCGACATGGGCGACCCCTTTTAGGCTTCTTCTGTTCTTCAGCTTCAGCTTCCTTTTTATTCTTGGGTTGGGCTGCCCCACTCTTCAACCTGATGGATCAATCACGTGACAAGCAGTGATCAGAATGCCTCAAAATTTTCTCTGCATCGCCGTTGCAACTTCAGATCTTCTATAGCAAAATTTCAACACTAGCCTAGCGCAAGATGCTGCTTACCCCTCAGAGAAAGGATCCAAGAAATTTATTACTTGGTTCAGAGCATGAAGAGCAATCTTCTTAATCTGAACGCACCAGATTGGACTCCAAGTCAGCCGTCATATCAGATAGCACAACATCATAAACAGAAACCAGATAACTGAAAATATAGTATGCCAACCTCCAGTTTATCCTCTTTAGCCCTGTGACCAGGTGGAAGTCGCCTAAACTCTCCAGTCAGTTTTATGCACTCATTGACATTTTCTGGGGAAACAAAGTCCATTGCAACCTTGATGCAAGACTGCACAAACAGAAACAGCTTCGGTTTAAGCAACAGGATACATTTGTTGCTAAAGTAAAATAAAAAGGAGCACAAATTAAGGTCTGTTGAGTTCAGGCCCCGTTTAGTTCTCTCCAAAAACCAAAAATTTTTGCGCAGTAAGTGTCACATTGAATCTTGCGGCACATGCATGGAATAATAAATGTAAACGAAAAAAAACTAATTGCACAGTTGGATGAGAAATCGCGAGACGAAACTTTTGAACATAATTAGTCCATAATTAGACACTAATTATCAAATACAAACGAAAGTGCTACAGTACCCAAAACCCAAAAATTTCCGGATCTAAACGCGCCCTCAGTCACACCTTCAGATTCCTCACTTGGTGAGGACATCCAGCAGGAATAAAAACCGCTTCACCAAGCCTCTGCTCAAACGTCCAGGGTTCAACACCTATACCAAGCATGCAATCACATTAGAGATAGGGCAGAACAGCACAAAGCAGTGCATTTCTAAGATCTGAATAGCTAACCATATTCTTCCTTGAGCTTTCTCTTATGCTCCTCAGTTAAGTAGAAAGTCTGATCATGAATTGGGTGAATAACCTGCATCATTTGCATGACTTTTAGTCAGCATAGGGAAGACAGGAAATAATTGCAAGGAAAACAATACCTGTTTCACAGGATTGCAATAGATGTGCCGGAATTCTGTGGCATGTTTCCTAAGATAATCTTGTAGTTTGTCAGAATCTTCTCTTCGGAAGATATCCCACAAAGCACCACCAGTTCTCTCATGGTCTCCACTCTTGCCCGTGATACAATGAGCCCCATTATGCATCCCAGCATAACTATTATTCTTGTCAATGTAATCTGAACACTGGCCCGCCTCACTTTGTACCTTAGATTCATGAGATGAAGAATTATCCTTAACATCGCCTTCAGTATTAACAGGTGGTACAGCATTGATGTCCAAACCTGCATAATGAAAACAAGAATGATGTAGTAAGTTATAATCAACTGAAAGACTCATTTTGATAACCAAAAGTAAACCATTAGCTCACCATCAGAAATTTCTTTATAGGTACCATCATTACATGAGGTCTTTGATGTTTCATCAACGGTTAAATTCCTGGAATCAGTAGAAGATGATAATAGGTCTCGTTCAGTGCCAGATTCTGAAACACCATAAAGTTCCTGAAGATCTTGTTCTTTCATTTTCTTTCTGAGTTTCTCTATCTTCTCAAGTTGATAACCCTCATAGGTCACTTGTGTTGTATGTGTTAATATATTTACCTGATAAAAAACACACTTGTCAGAATTAATGACTGCCATAATAAGCTAGGGACCCCAAGCAAGAGACAAGTATGAAAGAAACGACTATCAATTGTCACCAGCTGAGTATACAGCCACAGCTTGAAAAGTGTCAGATCAGAGAAAGCAAAGTAAAGAAAGTGAGACACAGATTACCAGTATAAGATAAGTCAATTTTATTCTACAATGAAGGTACCAGACAACTACAAATGTTATAAAATGAGAAAAAAATCATCAATAACAGCACATACTGCATCAGACATGTCACAGTGAAGCTTGGTCACAGAATCACCCCTGCCTAACTCTTGGTGAAATCCATAAGCAATGTAAGTTTTTGGCCCAAGGTCTGGCTTCAGGGCATCATCAGGAAGCTTGACTGCAAGATTTAGTGGACCATATCGAGGATCAGTGTACTCAGGAAATGGCAATGCACTGATAAACTCAGCGCCATGGCGAGGCAATCTCTGATCAAACGAACTAGATGGTGGCCAGTCCTTCAGCTTAAGCATCTCAGGCCAGTATACAGTGGGGTGCATTCTGCCTTTCATATATCCCATAAAAAACATATGCATATTAATTTCCACCTGCAACAAAAATTGTGCATGCCAAGAACTTAATATTTTACAATTAGCAATTAATAACAGGGCTGTGAGGAATCTATGCATGCATACAGATAACACGGTTCCTTAAAAAATGAAATGGAAGTTAAATTCACTGATATCTCAAACATTATTCTTTTTTTTACTTGTAAAGCATGCCCAATTTCGTGACATAGTAATAAATAAATCTTCAACCCGAGTTTTACAACCATGAAAGTCAGCATGGGGACAAAGATATGCAACAGAGAATAGCAGACATCAACAAGTCAGGGAAGTGGTCCTAACCCTTCATACTGCACCTAGGAAAGTCTATAAAGAGAAAAGTAATAGCACATCTAAGGGAAACACAAACAAAACCATATTTAAATATATACAAAAAGAAAGGTCACCCAATCACAACCATTTAGGGAATTAGAATTCCTAACCTCATTCCAATCAAGGCAATCTATTGCCCTAACAGCAAAGTGCTCATCTTCAACGTCACCATTAGTCTTTTTCTCTCGCAATGCCCGCCACATAACTAATGGCTCCCAACTGAGACCAGAGGTCAACTGAAGAACGTCAGAAACTATAACTGGTTCACCTTTTGTCCAATGCATCTGAAAGTGCACTAAGTCATCCTCCTTGATGCCAGTGGCAACTGGGCAGTAGATGTGATTATCACTTGAGCCTTTCCTATTTGCAGCCTCTCGCACATCATGAATTCTTACACTTCCTGAATGGTCATAACAAGGGCACTGATCAGTTCTTTTGGTTACTGCTTTTGCAAATACTTTACTCCTCACAATTCTGTCAGCTCGTTCTTCTAAGTCGGAAAGCATTTTCTCTGGGAACAAGCATTTGAGGTCCAAAACTGAACCACCACAGCCTCCTCGCTCCTTCGGTGGGCAACGTATGCTACCATCACTTTCTGATTTCCACAGTAGTAGAGAGTTCTTTGGGGCCTCACTAGAACCCATTCCATTGGAAGACACATTTTTCAGGGATGAGTTATGCCCCCTCAAGGAGCACCTTTGATGCTGATTCTTGGCAACAAAAATATAAGACTTGTCTCTTGGTTCAGGCTCTAAGATCTTTACCTCCTCTCCTCCAGGAATCTCACCATTGTGGATCTCCCCACAGCATGAAAGGCACAAATCATAAAAACAGTACTTGCAGCTTCTATGAAAATCAACTATAGAAGTTTTACAGTTATCGCTGCATTAGAAGAATAAGAAGATAAATCAGATGCTTGCTGATATAAGATTATGGCAAAAAGGAAAATAGGAAAGAACGAACCAGTAGACACGTTCATCTATATTACATTCAGCTTGTTCCAACTTCACCTCATTCATCAAAGCACCTAGGAAAAAAACAAATTAGCATGAACAGCAACCTCAGTTAGCAGATTGTGTCATGCAACACCAGAACACGATACCTTGTATTTTAGCCTCTAATTTCTTCTCCTCCTTCTGCTCCTGTCGCAGTTGTCTCAACCAGGGAAGCAACAAGTGCAGAACATGACAAGCATAACGGAATTGATTTCCTTCAGAAATTTCCTTCTTTGGCGGCTGCTTTGTGAGAAATGGGAATTTATTGGTTTAGAGTAGGCAGGAAAAATTTGAAGGAAAATACCTAACAAGCAGAAGAAATGGAAAAAATGTAAAGGCAAAAAAGGAGATGGAATGCTAGGCGTGAACCTCTTCAACTCCTCGCATTCGTAGGCATCCCTTGCAATTGCAGTTCTTGCGACAATACGGGCATTGTGCAGCAAATTCATCTTCTGACAAACCAGGATACCTGTTTAGTATTTACAACAGATTAGCAGTGTACATTACAAAAGATCAAATAACATAACCACATGAATGGAAACCAGAACCAAGAGACATCCTTTTTGTAGCACAGTAGACAAATACAGTTGCATCAACAACAAAAACTAGTAGATGCCTATAGAATAAGATGATAAACTAACCATGGGTATGTAATTTATATATGTAAATGCCATATTACAAAGAAATTGTACGGTGTGCAATCATATTAGTAGACACAGATCATGAGAACTCAACACACCATCGTTGGATGCATGGCACACAGAAGCGCTTATTCCTGCATGATTTACACCAGACCACCCTCCCTTTATCATTCCTCTGGCACTGGTGGCACATCAGGGCATTATCCCCAGTCAACATCTTCTTCCCTTTCTAGACAATTGAAACAACACTTACATTCATCAAATACTTACACAAAATCATTCCATAAACAGCTCATGTCATGAGTTGCTTACCCTATTAGTTTCATTACAATCTTTATGCTTGGAGGATGAGGCCTTCTTTTGTTCTTCATCCTCTCTTTTCAACCTTTTTGTAGCAGAAACCTTCCCTGCATCTCCTTTCTTCCTCTTCTTTGCAGTCTGTAAAACCTCACCATTCCTTGAGTCCTTGCCCCTAACTGTCTCGGCACCATCCTGCAAGTAAATGGACTTAAAGCCTACAACATTCTTTCAATACACCAGAAGCATCAAAACTGAGGTGTTACAGCAAAGGTGGCAACTGAATTACAAGAAATTTCCTTTAACATCCTATGGCCCAAGAAACAAAACCCTAGAACATTCATCAAAGAAAATTGAAATATAAACTTAAAAACACCAAAACTAAGGTGTTACAGAAAGGGGGCACAGAACTGCTAGCCACTAGGAAAAAGATGCGCTCTAGGGAGAATATATTCAGTAGCCAGCTACAAAATAAGTTATTCCGTAGCCACCTCCATTTACGATAATTTTATATACAAATTTACGATAATGTCAATACATATTTACGATAGTTGGATTACTATAACACATAGAGATATCTACCATAACGTTATAGTAAACAACTTAGTATGAAGTTACTATAATCTCATAAATTAACATAGTAATTATCGTAACTCAAAGTGACTACAGAATAAGTTATTTTGTAGCCAGCTACAGGGTAGTGTGTGTGTGTGTTACTTGAGGAACACAAAAGGAACATAGTAATCACACAACTGGATAATCACTGCACTATTGCTAGTTACAAGTAAACAAGCTCAAAAACATATTTACTAATCGACATTAAGGTTTTGATTTATACAAGGCCAAATAGAGAACAACAAAACCATTCCTAATAGAACCTGGAACTTGTGACAGGGTGTTTGTATGTTTCAGACAACATTTAGAAAATTTGTAAAGATTCTTTTGATGTCAAGAACTGTCAGATAGTACATGGTAAAATTGGCAACACGCTAACATGGGTACAAAACTATAGTAATCAACTGTTGCAGAATATTGTAAAGTAACATACCCCCTTCCGGTCACCGTGGCATTTGCTGTTGGGGAAGTGGGCCTTGCTGTCCACATGTTCTGGTTTGGTTTTCCTAGGCCCCCTCTTCTTGCCAGCATCATTTCTCTTCTTTCTCTGAGACTTGAATTGGTTGGTTGCAGTCTCCTGACATTACACCAGCCAAGAAATTAGCCCACTACATTAGGAGAACACACCCGACAAGAATTAAACCAATATCCAATACAATGCCAAGTAAATGTATTCCAGAGAACGAGACGGAAGATACTGTAGAATCAACATACATACGCAGTAAAAAAAATAAGGAATAAGAGAATTCTGCTACTATGTGGAGGGGGGGAGGGAACAGACAGTATGTCAAAGTTAGAAGCCTTTCCTTTCCTTTACTATAAATCATAGTTGAGCAAAGAATCATCAGAAAAGTCCCTCGAGTGACTGAACAATACTAGTTTTTTTTCAATGCCTAAGTAAAGGAATTGTTTTCGTTTAAAGAAAAGGCATTTTTCTTTATCTGTATTTATTTAATGCGCTAAATGGTTCATTCAGGAAACAGTAAATCGTATCAAATGATACGAAGGCTATTTTTTCTCATTTTCCTGCTCCAGGAAAAAATGGGAAACTTTTTTTAGAGAAAAATGAGGAAACTGGAAACACACAAAGAGAGAGCGCGAAAAGCACGTTGCAAATCCCACAAGAAAACCAAAAAAAAAGTAGAGAGAGCTATCCCAGCACCTCATCGTCGTCATCCGTGTCGCGCTCGCAGAAGACGTTGGGCGCGTGCCTCCTCTCCCTGAGCACCCGGTCCCCGACCGCCACCCAATCCATCGCCGGCGGGGCAAAGGACCTGTCGCCGCTCCGCCGCTTGGGCCTCCCGCGCCCCTTCGCGGCGCCTTTCGCCCGCCTTTTGCTCCCCCGCTTCGTCACCCCACCACCATCGCCCACGGCCCCCTCTGGGTCCTCCGAGATGGCCATGGCCAGCGTAGGGGGGAAAGAAACTGGAGGGGAAAGGGAAGAGTCGGCCGGAGATTGGCGATGGAGAAACGTGGAGGACGTCCTTCTTCCTTTTTATTTCTTTCCTCCGTCCGGCCCTGGAGCGGGGGCGAGGCGGGAGGTTTGGGCGCGGACACGGCGAAATCCTAGCCGTCCCGTGCGGTGACAGGAGCATCGGTTTTCAAATTTTGAAGCGGTTGGGGGAAGACGGCGAGGGGAGGGAAACTGGGAAAGGGGGAAGAGCGCGGAGGCGAATCCTGCGTGCGCCGCGCCGTGGTTTGCGTTTCCATCCCCAGGGGCGCCGGCGGTGTACAAGTACGGAATATGAGTATTTCATTCACACTTTCGCCGTATATAGGAGGTGGACAGTCTACTAGTGGTAGGTTAGCCACGTAGGCGTAATATACGTACGCCTTCACCCTTCAGCTTTCTATATGCACCGAAAAAAAGTAAAACTATCTAACTACGGCCACGTTTAGTTGGTGCCTGATTCGGCGCCGTCCGAATTGGTGCGCCCGAAAGGTACTGTAGCTACAGTATATTTTTGCTTTTATTTGATAATAATTGTCCAAACATTGACTAATTAGACTCAAAACGTTCGTCTCGTAAAGTACAACTAAATTGTGCAATTAGTTTTTATTTCATCAACATTTAGTACTGCATGCATATACCGCAAATTTGATGTGACGAGAATCTTCTTTTTACATAGTGCCAAAGTTGGTAATTCGGTGGAACTAAACAGGCCCTACATTCCACAACGAAGAAAATCATGCCAACATGAACCGTACGAACTACTAGTTAAAGTTAAAGGGGCAATTTGGTTTTCTTGCACGTCACTGTGTAGCCTTGCCAAGCAAAGATATAGATCCAAGTGGTTGTTTGATCCCAAGTAAGATTTTCTTAAGATCTGTGTAAGGAAGCTTTTACCTTGCTTTCACGAGAGAGCCAAAACGATTCTCCTAGCTTCGGCAACCTTCTTGTTGCTTGTGCCGAGAGACAAGACAAGACAAATCTCTTTGGCTTAGAAACCAAGCCATGGTTTTTAAGGCGTCGCCTAGACGACAAGGCGCTCACAGGGAGTAAGACGTCCCTGATGCCTAGCCAAAAGCAAAGGAAAACAATAGGGAGAGCCCGTGCAGCTACCTCCTCGCTCATCCCCACCAAATCCGGCGCCGCCTAGGTCATCTACGGCGGTTGATCAAGATGGGGATATAAGAGAGGAGGAGCAAGAGGGGAAGGAGCGGAGGGCAAGCTGAGCACACGCTATCAAGAGCAGCGCGAGGGAGGGAGGGCAGCGCGGTACCTGCGTGAGCCATAAGAGAGGTGCATCTGCGTGCGTCAAGCAGGGAGATGCAGCAGCGTTGCGCCTGCGTGGAAGGAGGATGCGTGCGGCGACACTGCATCTGCGTCCGTGAAAAGTGAGATGATAGATGACCTAAGAAGAAATAAGGACGCATTCGTGGGCTGCCTATTGGGCCGGGCCAAGCACTTCTTTTTACATTTGCCCTTTTCTAGTTTTTTTTTTTTTTTCTTTTTTCCTCTTTTTCTTGCCTATTCCGTGCTGGTATTTTTCCTATTTCTTAGAATGGTAAGGTGTCGCCTTGCCTTGTCTTATGGTCGCCTAGGCGACTCAAATGAGTGGCTCGCCACGTCTCGCCTTACCGCCTTAAAAAATATGAGCCAATGAAAGGTCCTAATGGCTAGAGGGGGGGGTGAATAGCCTAATAAAAATCTACAACAACACTTAACAAAATGTGTTAGACAATTTTGCGGTGAAGCGAGTGTTGCGCTAGCCTACTAAAATACAAGCCACCTACCACAATTCTATTTCGAATAGTGTATATCCACACAATAGCTATGACACTTAGCTAAATTAGTGTGCTCTCAAAGACTAACTAAAGAGCAACACTAATCAAACAAACAAGCTCTCACAACTAGCTACACTAAAGAGCTTGATAACTAGTTTCTTATGTAATATAAGAGTGAGCAAAGAGTTATACCACCGTGTAGTGGTAGGAACCAATCAATCACAATAATGAATACCAATGTAGATCAATCACCTCGGAATCAAATGATGAACACAATGATTTTTACCGAGGTTCACTTGCTTTGCCTTAAGCAAGCTAGTCCTCGTTAATGACGATTCACTCACTTGGAGGTTCACGCTACTGATTGGCATCACTCACCAAACCCTCAATAGGGTGTCGCACAACCAACACAAGATGAGGATCACACAAGCCACAAGCAATTTACTAGAGTACCTTTTGGCGCTCCATGGAAAGGTCAAGAACCCCTCACAATCACCACGATCGAGTCGGAGACAATCACCTCCTCCACTCAACGATCCTTGCTACTCCAAGCCGTCTAGGTGGCGGCAACCATCAAGAGTAACAAGCAAAAATTCGCAGTGAAACACAATCACCAAGTGCCTCTAGATGCAATCACTCAAGCAATGCACTTGGATTCACTCCCAATCTCACTATGATGATGAATCAACGATCTAGATGAGTGGGAGGGCTTTAGCTAAGCTCACAAGTATGATATGTCAATAGAAATGGCCAAAAGTTGGAGCTTGAGCGGCCATGGGGCTATAAATAGAGCCCAGTGAAATAGAGCCGTTGTACCCCCCTTCTTTGGGCACAACGCGGGGTGATCGGACGCTCCGGTCATACTTGGACCGGGACGCTGCTAGCCCTCGGCGTCCGGTCGCCCGATGGACGCCACGCGTCACCGACTTCAAACACTCTGTTTCGTCCGATTTCAGCACGTGCTGAAAGTGACCGGACGCTCGATAAAACCGACCGGACGCTGAAGCCCAGCGTCCGTCGTTTCGATAAGCTCCCGAGGCATGTTTTTTCGATCGGGACGCGTCCGGTCCACCTTGATCGGACGCAGCCCGTCGTCGGTGCTCAAACCTAGCCATGGTTGCGTCGGCAGCTCGACCGGACGCGACCTTTCAGACATCCGGTCATTGAGTGACTCAAAGCGTCCGGTCGATGAGACCGACGCCAAAGACATCATTTCGATCAACTCCATTTCAACTCTTACTTCTTCACCCTTGCTCAAGTGTGCCAACCACCAAGAATTTTGCATCACAAGCAATAGAAAATAGACATTTCATTTTTCCGAAAGTGAATCCTGCCTCAAGACTCGGCGGAGGGAGAGAGGGACCAAACCCATCTCAACCCTACAAACACCTTGTGCACATGTGGTAGCATATTTACACAAATATTATCAAGGGTGTTAGCACTCCACTAGATACTAAATGCATATACAATGAGTTAGAGCATCTAGTGGCACTTTGATAACCGCATTCCGATACGAGTTTCACCCCTCTTAATAGTACGGCTATCAAACCTAAATGTGATCACACTCTCTAAGTGTCTTGATCACCAAAATAAAATAGCTCCTACAAGTTATACCTTTGCCTTGAGCTTTTTGTTTTTCTCTTTCTTCTCTTCAAGTTTAAGCCCTTGATCATCTCCATGCTATCACCATTGTCATGTTATGATCTTCATTTGCTTCTCTACTTGAAGTGTGCTACCTATCTCATGATCACTTGATGAACTAGGTTAGCACTTAGGGTTTCATCAATTTACCAAAACCAAACTAGAGCTTTCAGCCAAGCAGACCCAAAACGTCTTGGCTCCATTTAGGATGTGATTGGATGTTGGTATAGCTGCTGGCTGCTTTGGTGGATTGGCAGGTCAAGAAAAAGTCTAGTTCTATCGATGCATTTTGCAACGAATCTAGTAGCGAGGTGATCTACCACTAAAGCACACACAATCAGCAGGAGTGTAGAATTTTGCAAATCACCGAAGGCAAGGAGGAGACAAGATTTATCCCCGAGGTTCCATTGCTTACCGGCAACCTACGTCCTCCATTGAGGCAAGTCTCTAGGTGAATAATGTACGCGCTAACAAAGCTCTCAAGCTTGACCCACAACTTAGGTGTCGCAAGAATCAAATCAACAAAAAGCACTCCAACTAGCCTCGAGCATTTCACTAGAGTTGCCCTTCGTGATCTCCCATGAGGTGAGCACAGAATCCCTCACAAACCAACCGATCTGAGCCACCAAACAATCAACGACACGGTGCTCGCAGTCCTTGCTGCTCCAATTCATCTAGGTGGCGACAACTACCAATAGTAACAAGAAATCCATGGCAAGTCGATGAACTAGTGCCACTATATGCAAATCAGCTAAGCAAATGCACTAGATCTCTCCTTACCTCACTTTGGATCAACCATCAAGCAAGAGAGTGATAGGGAGGCATTCTCAAGAGCTCAAGGGTGTAATGTGTTCATTTGGGAGGCCAAGAGAGTGCCCAAGAGTTGATCACACCCCCTATTTATAAGCCCATAAAAAACTAGCCATTGTAAGCTTGGTGGTGGGTTGTTTTTGAGGTCATCTAAAATCTCTGATGACCACCGGAGAACACCCATCGGAACTTATGTTACGTAGATCCGATGACTAGAAATTGATCTAGAAAACTATCCATGGACACTCTCTTCGGTGGTCACTGTGGTGCTACCACCAGACATTTCTGATGACTTCCCAACAGCTCGACCACACACAACTAGCCGTTAGGAATTTAAATGGCTCTACTCTTCATTCTCTAGTGCCTCTTCAGTGAGGATCACTAGACATATCCGGTGACACCTAGACCCTTGTTGTATGCCAACCCAAGAGGTCCAAGGGGCATAAGAAATCTTTGGTGATCATCCACCAGACTTTCGGTGGCCTCATTTAAATCTCTCACGCGCTGCTAACTCTAACGCATTCTTCGGTGCTCTCCGATGGGGTACCACCAGACATTTCCAGCGAGTACCCTTGTCCACAGTTAAATCAACACAAGGCACCCTATTTTCCAGTGAGCCCCCTCCCCCCCACACACACTGGGGCACCAAACATTGTTGATGGATGACGAAAAACAATACCAATTCACATTTTTTGCAAAGCAATTCAAATTTTCAACTCCAAT